CTGGGCTCCGGCGATCCTTCCGCCTCCGCCTTCCGAGTAGCTGGAACCACAGGCATGTACCACCACGCCCGGCTCCTTTTTTTTATTTATTGTAGAGACGAGGCCTCACCAAGTTGCCCAGGCTGGTCTCGAACCCCTGGGCTCCGGCAATCCTCCCGCCTCTGCTTCCCAAAGTGCTGGGATGACAGGCCTGAGTCACTGCGCCCGGCAAAGCCTAGAGATTTCGATCATGATCTGTTTCATCCTCCCAATAAATCCGTCCACCCATCCACGCGTGGACGTGCCAGGCCGTGAAGGTGTGAGGACCAAGACCTCAGTCCATCTGATGGAGAAGATGGAAACATACAGAGGGACCTAAAAAAAGATCAACCGAGCAGGCAATACCCTCATCTCCATTTTATGAATGGGAGACAAGCCTAGAACCATGAAGTGATTTGCCCAAGGTCACAGAGCTAAGGTTTGCACGCCCGTGGCCTCACTACTAGAGGGAGAGACAAGCAGGGAAACCCAAGGCCTCTCTGGACCGCCCCACCCTGCCTTGAAGTAGCGTGCCTCGGTTTCCCCATTGGGCTAGAACAAGCCTTGGTGTCTAGTCACTGGGTTTGATCAAGGGCTTCACAGAGGACTGGGTCTGGATGCAGAGGCGTATGCCTATAGTCCCAGCTACTCAGGAGGCTGCGGCCGGAGGATCGCCTGAAGGCCAGGAGTTCAAGCCAAGCCTGGGCAACCTAGCGAGACCTCATCTTTACAGAAATTTCCAGAATGAGCTGGGCGTGGTGGTGGTGGTGCATGCCTGTAGTCCCAGCTACTTGGGAGGCCAAGGCGGGAGGATTCCCCATGAGCCCAGGAGGTCCGGGCTGTAGCGTCGCGCCACTGCACTCCAGCCTGGGCGACCGGGCCAGACCCTGTTTCTAAAGCAAAGCCAAACAAAACACAGGGCTGGGAGGGGGCTGGAGGAGCCAGCCCCAGGCGGTCCTGGCCACCGGAGCCCCTGGTGGCCTTGGTGGCCTTGGAGCTGCAGACCCCCCACCAGAGCTGGGGGGGCAGGAGAGAGGGCGTTGGAGGAGGGAGCCTCCCCCCCCAGCAGGAGCGGTCGATAAGCCACCATTAACAATGGGCCTTTCTGTGCGGGGGTCACCCAACTGGTTTGTCTCTGGCACGGACCCACCGGGAGGGGTGAGGGTGGGCGTGGCAGAGGGCACGGGGAAGGGGACAGGGAGGGGGACAGAGGGGGCCGTGTGTGTGCTTGGTTCCTGGGCCCCCAACCCGGGGGGTGCACTCACACAGCAGGCTTGCCAGCTCACCCGCACGCATGCACACTCACGCCCGGCCGGGTTGTGTTCTCACGCGGTCACACACAGCGCACCTGCACACAATCTCCCACGCGCGTGCATTCTCACGCACACCTGGGTGTTTTCACAGTCACAGGCTCACATGCGTGTTTTCTCACCCCACACTCAAATAGGGTCACACGCACGCACTGGCGTGTTTTCACACACACACGCATGTGGGTATTTTCACCCACCCTGAAACGCCGTCACACAGCTGGACACCATCACACCCACACGCTGGGGGTTTTCACACCCACACTCGAACGCGATCGCACCTACACGCCGTGAGGTTTTCACACTTACACTTGAAGGTGATCACACCTGCATGCTGGGGGTTTTCACACCCGCTCTTAAACACAGTCGCACCTGCACACTCAAACAAGATCCCATTCACATACCTGGGTGTTTTCACACTTACGCCCACACACGATCACACACACAGATGTTTTCACAGCCCCACGGTCAAACACACTCACATGCACACTCGACTAGTATCACCCACGCACTTAAACGCAATCACACCCACATGCCAGGGTGTTTGCACACTCACCCACTTGGATGTCTTCACACTCACTCAACACACGCCCACACTCACACTTGAAGACACACACCCCCGAGTGCGTTTTCACACACACACTGGGGGACTTTTCACAC